CGACGCACGGTTTGCCGTCCCGCACCAGCACCGGGACCGCCACGCGGCGCGGCGGCGGCGGCGGGGCGTGAGCGCCCAGCTCCAGGGATTTGTCCTGCCGCTGTCTCTTGCACTTGTACCGGCGATTTTGGAACCAGATTTTCACTTGCGTTGACGTGAGTTTCAGGCTGCTGGCGAGGTGCTCGCGCTCAGGCGCCGACAGGTACCGCTGCTGCTTGAACCTGCGCTCCAGCTCGAAGACCTGCGCTTGCGAGAAGAGGACCCGGGGCTTCCGGCGGCTGCGCGGCTTGGGCCTCTCGCCGTCCTCCGCCGCCTTCCCATCGCCGACTGTCTCTAGAGGCTTCTTCAGCGCGCAGCTTTCTGCGGAAGAAGCAAAACAACGTCCGTTAGCTCATCCCGGCCTCCCTGTCGCCCCTTTTCATGGTGGAAGTGCGGAACGTGTGGTAGTAAATTACCGGACTTTTTGGAAAGTTTGTGGCTCCTGATGCTAATGGATCCTGCCACAGCCCGAGTACCTAAAGAACGCCCTCAGCGGGCAGAGACACATTCCGCAGGGAGGAGTAGTGCGTGTGCGTTTATTAAAATCTGAGCATCATCTTCGAGAGAAGAGATTACCCTGTATTAAATGTGCGATTCGGCGAGCTAATGACTATTTTCAGAAAGCTTGAGACTACATAACTACAGTATTTGCAAGCTCATTTGCCTTCCATTCCACCAGGAGTTGCTGAAGGTGTGAGATGTGTTGATATGGCGACCAGTGTCCATGGGTTGCACAAATGTTTTTCTTTCGGAACTATCTGAGTGTATCGCCGTGCATGGCCCAAGAAGTAACCTTTTGCTTATAAGAAAGACTACATGCAAATGTGTGCGTGGCAGTGTCGGTGTTACCTTAGAGAATAAGTTTGCCTAGTTTTAGACAGCTTTATGTACATTTTAGGCCAGAGGAGATAGATGTGAGAGCATGATGTGCCTTGGCCCCTGGCACAGCAAACCTCCTCTTGGAGCATGCAATTCTTTGATCTAGTTCCCTCAGAAACAATTCCTTGGGGCTTTATTAAGTTATTCGATCTCACTTCCTAATTCACCTCCCCGTCTGACGTGGGCGGTGGAGATGTCGTACTAAATTGGGTGGATTCTCTATTAGGCCTGCAGCCTGAGACACAAAGCAAAACGTTTATGAATTTTCAAAAAAGGCCAGCGCCTCGGGCGTGTGAGAGCTATGGTCACGCGGAATAGTCAGTGTTCCCACGCACTCTGCTTCCATCCCCTCAGCCCAGTGCCCTGGCTATCAAGACACTGAGCTTCAAGCACAGAAGGAAAGCACACTGCCGCCGCCTGTCTCTACCAAAGTCCCTGCATCCTGAGGATGTGGACTCTGGAGACACAACCTGCTTTAGCTGCCTTTTTGGAGAAGAGAGTTGACTACCCTGACCTCAGAGAAGCGGCTTCACGTTGAAAGGAAAAGTGAAAACAGGCGAGCTCCTGCCCATTTTGGGGGAATAGCCCTTTTTTGGGTGAGGGGAAGCAAAATAGTAGGAGACGTTAGGACTCAGCAGCTGAGCCTGTGTCACTTAATCAGCATCAAGGCAGCGACTTTTCCTTTTTGCGGGACTGCAACTTGTCCCTGCCCTGGAGAGAGTAGTTGTCAGAGTCGCTCTGTCTTTCTCCCTGCCCCAGCTCCGGAGGGCAGAGTCAAGTCCCCAGCCAAAGGTTAAGAGGGTAGGTAGCCCTTCTGGCCAAGTTTGCTGGGTGTTTGTGGGCGCCGCCCCACGTTCCAGGTGTGCGGTGCGTTTCCTTCCCCCCTTTACTCACTTTGGCTCCGGTCCCTCACGACCTCCTCTTCATGCTCTTTGGGCCCGCTGCACGAGTCTCGCAGGACCGTGTGGACATAGCTCTGGGGACAGAGGCCCGAATCTCCGTGGCCATCGGCTGCGCCTAGTGAGTTCAAATAGGACAGTTTCTCGCCCTCTTCTTCCTCGTCCTCCTCTCCTCCGTCAGAAAACTGTGTCCCCTCGGTGGCGGCCAGCATACAAGGCGCAGAGTGGAAATGGTGCTCCAAGTCCGCCTGCAAGTGAGCGCCGTGGAAGTGCTGCTGCTGTTCCAGATTCAAAATGTCTTTGACTGAGAAAGGGGTGGAGGTGACCGGGCTTGGTAACATCATCGGGGCCACTTAATTGTCCAGTCCAAATACTCAATAAATCCCGGCGGGGGCGGGGAGGCAGCGCGGCTGCTCCAGCTCTCCGCCTGGACTCTGCCGCTGCTGCGGAGTTGGGCTTTTGACAGACGCGGTTCTGCTCCAGTCTAAATCGCCTCCATTGGCCAGGACCTGGGGGTCTGGGTTTTGTTACAGCCACTGCAGGGACTGGGGCCCGGGCCGCAAAGCCTCTGTCCGGGGCCCTGGCGTCACGTCGGGGGCGGGACCGCACCCTGGCCTCCTTCCTCATTGGCCCTGACTCCTGTGGACCACGCCCCCGGCGTCCCACTGGTAGGATGTTGCGCAGCTACCAGAAATAGACTAGAGTTTGGATAGGATTTGGTAAGTGGAGTCTCTGTAGTACCGGCTGCACTGACCCAGTGTCCCAACTACCAATATTTCGCTTTACTTGGCTGCACATTCTCGACCTGGGCCAGTTCAGAGAGGTTCACTGTCCACGCACCAAAATTCGGGAAGGATGCCACAAGAGTGTGGTTTTTCTAGCTGCTACGGGGCAGGAAAACTTCCTTGCCGGTCAATACCTGGCTCTGTATCCACAAGGAGACCGCTTGTTTTATCTATGGGTGAGCGACGTGTCCGTTTCCGCCTTGTTGCCTTTGCTCAAGCTGTTCACTCCTCCTGGAATGTCTTTCCCGTCTTTGTCTGGTCTCCAAGAGTGGCAAGCTGTTCTCCAACGCTCTACTCCAATACCACCTCTTCCAAGGAAGTGCTACCTGATCGCCTAGTAGGAAGTCCTCTTTCCTGCTCGTGAACTTGCAGCTACTGTTAGCAAAGGACAAGCCTATCACTTATTACCTCCCACTGAGTTCGATAGCTGTGTGTGTCTTCCTGATTGCCTTATTAGACTGTGAGCCCTCTGAGGCCAGGGTGCAAGTTGCATTTGCCTTTGCAGAGGCTGTACAGAGCAGGTATGTGAAAGACAGGATGATGGAGTTCTTACTATGCTTTGCTGTCTGATTGCTCTTGTTTGGAATGCTGGCCTAACCCTTGGGCATTTCTCATTTCTTGGTTTCCTATGCAAAGGATAGGAAATACCCTCTTCGGGGTTATTGCTTCGGTTAAATAAGCAAAAACCTTCCAGGAGCTCAGTGCATGGTGGTGTACATATTAGATGCTCAGTACATGTCAGCTATGGCCATTCTGCACCAGGTGTCAGTGCAGTGTGTTGACTGCACAGGCGATGTGGCTGGAGTGCTGCACACACTGGGGTTGTGAGAGCAGGATCTGTCCTCAGAAGGGAGGTGACCAGTCATGGCTGCCATCTTTTCTTCCTGTTCAAATGTGGAGCCTGAGTCTGGGCCTTGACTCTTTGACATGCCTTTCTAATTTCTCTACCCACATGCCTTCTTCTGTCTTCATGACACCCTGGTTGCTTTCTGGGGGTAATCTGTGGGACTCGCAAAGATTTTGGAAACTCTGCCTGTTGGGAACCATCTTCTTCCTGAACAATAGGCATTCACTTGCTGCCAAGGTAGCCCAGTGGGTAGCAACAGGCCCTGCTGTGAGAACTTGGGTAGCTCTGGCCTTGAAAAAAAATAGGGAAGGCTCCATTCTGACCATGGTGTCCCTCAAACATCTTTTCCTTTTGCTCCTGGGATGACAAAATTGTCAGAAACCAGTATCAGCTGGAAGGGGCAGGTGGAAGTTGCACGGACTCTGGACAGCGCGCCGGGGGAAGCGGGGAAGCGGGGAAACAGGGAAGTGGGGAAGCGGGGATGCCGGGAAGCGGGCAGACTCTAGTGTGAGTGAGGACAAAAGTAGAGAGCTGCCCCGCGGGATCCGCGGGGTTCTGCCGGAGGACTTGGTGCCCAAGGCCCAGGAGAGAAAGAACAGCCTGTTGGGAGGGGGAGGCGGGGCTCTTCAGGAGTGAGCGGAAATGTTGCGGGGAGGCAGCCCTTGGGGCCTCCCGGGGAGCTGGGACTCCTTGCGGGCCACGTGCTTGGCGGAGAGTGCCCTTAGGGTAGCTGTGACCTGCTGGCGGTGGCAAAAGACGTCTGTGGACAGGGCCTTGCTCCGGGATGACCGTCCCTCAGCCACAGGGGCGCCCGATGACTTTCTGCTTTAAATCCTGAAACTATTGATGCCCCAGGCGGAGGTTAGTGTTTCCAAATCAGGCCGGAGTCTTCAGAGGGAAGAATGCGCCTGGTTTTGCTGCGGACCCCGAGGCTCGGGCGCAAAGATCCAGACAGAGGTGGGGGTGAGTGCGCGACACTGCAGAGAGGGGGGACCTTGAGTGTGTGCGCGTCACCTCCTACCAGAAGGAAGCTGTGCTCTAGTCTCAATTCCCTACCCCCACCCCAGGGCAAAACTGTCTCGGGAAAATCTGCTTCCTCTGGTCCGCAATTTTCTTTGCCTGTTAGGTGACTTCAAGATTTGGACAAAAGAAAAATGACTAAAGCTACCGAAACTAACCTTCTTTCTTTTGCTAATTTTCAACTGAAACTGCACTTCTTGCTGCAGCCCTTGCAGCGCTTCTTTCCTAGGCCTGACCTAAACTAGTCTAAAGGACCCGGCCGGGTCTTAGAACCCGACCCGGACAAAGCGCCGCTCCAGCCCTGAACGCGGTGAGAAGCTCACACACCCGCTGCAGCGGCCGAAGCCCACCCGGACGCTGTCTGCACACGCAGAAGGCTGCCTTCTTCCCACCAGATTCCCTCTCCCCGGAGCGGGGGCAAGTACCCTCGGGCCAGACTTGAGCGTTTCCGTATTAAGGACTCTGACCCGGTTGCTCCTCAGAGGCCTGCGGAACGCAGCCTACACTGTTCAATCGCAGTTCATGCGGGGCTAGAGGCCTGTGAGGACACCAAACTTGGGGTGTCCCGACGAAAGGCCCCAGCCTGCAGCTTCTATGCCATATGGCGCTTTTCTTTTCCCACCCTGCATCCTCGAGCAGAGCTCATCCAGGGCCCGGGAGATTCCTATCCGGGTTTTTTGTTTTTTTTTTTTTTTTTTGAGTTAGGTTCGGGTGGTCTCTCCAGCTGCTCTCTCCTGATTGCTCAGGTTCCCTGTAGTCTTCGATTTCTCCAGTAACGTGGCTTCCCAGAATGGATCCCTGCCAGGCCGGTCCAATATAGCCGGCCTCCCTCTCCGCGCGCGCGCAGGCTGAGTCCTCCACGCCCGTGGGGCCTGTGTGCCCGCAGCCCCGCGCCGCTGTCGGCTAGGATGAAACAAGCGCGGTACTTCTAAGTCGGCGCTTCGCGGGAGTCACTTATCAGAGTGTGGGATCTGGTACCAAAGTGTATCCAGTTACTACGGGCGTTCTGGGCATTTGCATTCTCTTGTCTGAAAAGGGGATCTTTGAAATCCTGGAGCTGTGCTCCGCTAATGATAGGTTTTCGTTCCAGACAGTTTAGCTAATTACTGTCAGATAAAGTAAAATATGGCTGCATTGGGGAAGGTTTGATTTCATTTTAATCGAGTGTATATCTTGGTATGTTTTCATCACATCATAGATGTATATAACCGCCAATCAGATATTTGATTAAAGATCATGGTTAAATGATGGCGAATTCCACGTGTAGGGAAATTGCTATATAAATACATAAATAATAATTTGTACCTTCCTTTAAAAAAGAGAACATGACAATTTTTAAAAAACACATTATTAAAAAATACATTATTGAATGAGTGTGTGATAATTCTTGAAAACTGTGAAGTGCTCTGGCATTATTCTCTACACAAAACTTGCTTAAGTAATGTGCATATAAATATAGGCAAATAATCAATAGTTTTAGTTGTATGTGCCACTGCTTATCATGTTTCTTACTAGCCATTCAATTATGTAACGAAGGTCACAAAAAAGCTGAAAATATTGTGGCTTTCTAATCTAAATGTAGCACCACAAACACAATTTTTTATTAAAGCATGAAAATAAAAGCCCATCCTGTGATAACTCAGCCAGCCAAAACTAATATCACAGTTCCAGTAAAATTTTTCTCTTTTTTTTAATGGCTGTCCTAGAAATTTCATTTTTAACGATACTTTACAAGAAAGAAAATGAGAAGGAAAAATATTTTCTCTTTAGCAGCAATGCAAAATGAGCTTTTGTTCACCTGGTGGTGGTAGAGTTGTGTATGTATGTGTGGGTTTGGTTTTTAGTCAAGAAATGGCAGAAAGCTTTTTAGAAGTTTTGAGCAAGCTAGAAACAATCACATTTTAATTTCAAAAAGGATGAATGCGTCTTCCACTGGGTTTTTAACTGGGTTGGTCAATTCTAGAAAGCATTAAAATGATCTAATTTCTTCAGAGTATTTGTTTGCTTTTTGAAGTAACTTTGTAAGAGGGATTTTTAAATGCTGTTGTGAACATGTAGTTTATTTTGTGTGTTGTTTGCATACATGTCAGATTTTTCTAGATGTTGTTTGGAATTGAGTTTTCTAAATACCACACCATTTCTATCCCCTGGAAGAAAATCAGTCCAAATTCAGCAAATTGTGTAGTTTTTGTAAAATACAGGCCCTTGCTAGTAAAGTGAGTTTCGATTTCTCAGGGAGAGGACTTTTAATGTCCTTCTCCAAAAACTATAAAGATAAAAGTGTAAATTAAGATTTCCTCACCAAAATGAGTTCTATTCTGGTAATAAACATTGGAGTCAGAAAGCCTACCTTTTCCCAGAGAAAATCAATTACATTTTTTCAAATAAAAATGTCCAAGTGAAGGACACCTGTACATAGGAATTTATTTGCACTGATTCGTGTGCTATTTGAGTGTGCAGCAAGCAGTTCTAACTTAGGGGATTAAACTGGAATTCTGAATGCATTCCGTAACTTCTTTTCTTTAGTGTGATTTTAACTTCCTGTAGGGAAATGTCAACGTCTATAAACCTTTTAAAATACAACTGTAAATGAACGGATGCCGTCTTTGGCGAATTAATTCACTTAAACCAGAGCACTTATCTGTTCTGTGTGGTTTGCTGAGCAGTGTAGGGGTGGAGGAGGGTCACTTTCCAAGAAGCAGAGATTCTCCATATGTCTTGCTAGCTGTGTTCTCGGTATTGTCCGCTAAACTGAGAGTCGGCTGGAAAGAACCTGGGCCTCTTGGGATGTAGAAATCTTTCTCCAAATCTCCCTGGGGATCAAGTTGTGGTGGATACTTGCAAGCTATTTCAGAATGAAAAAGACCTTTCTTGCTTGGAAAGAAACGTCAGTGGGAGTCTAGTGATT